TTGTAAGAGTTTATTAGTGCCTTGGAGTTAGAGGCAGTTGCGATGGGGGGATAGGCACTTCGTATATGGAAGTCAGGCCTCAGAGTATGGAAGTCAGGCCTCAGAGTTTGAAGAAAAGGCTAGGCGGAGAGAGTATGGTGACTGTAGTAGATATTGAAGAGATTTTTATAGAGAGGGGTAGCTGTGGAGTATGGGGTTATTACATGGATAGGGGGGGTTAGCAGAGAAGTTAAGATTGGGGGGCTGCAGCAGGGCTGAGTATATTGTCAGCAGCTATGGAACATAGGTGGGTTGACTGTGATCTTAATTAATCGAGGTAATAGTATGGTATAGTATTATGAGATGGGAGGAGGGATAGCGTTTAGAATATGGTCAAATTTTTGGAGGTAATGTGTAGGGTAGGTAGGGCACTTAGAAGGAGGGGATAGAGAACACACCTTGCCTAATTCTATAAGCAGTTCTGGTATTACAACATCAGTGTTTCTGCAGGCAATCAGAGGTGTGAGTGTATCCCAGCTATAGAGTAGGAGCTCTCGCAGTGTGTCATTATAGTTACCCACTGCTGCCGAACCACACTGCCAATCAATCCATCTCTAGCTAAAGGTGTCATTTAGACTCCTTGTGTAAAGCTAGACCTGTCTGGTACTGCCATCTTTATCCTTTGCCTTTTGGTGGAACTTTCCATTAACAGGATAGGGAAATATCCTATTGGTTCGGAGAAAGCAGTAGAAGTGGCGGTTGCCCCACTGCTAAATTTGTGATGGATTCGAATAATATGTTACTAACTAATCAAAAACTAAGCAGAACAAAAGTTGCAATAGTTTTGATGTCCATCCATTATGTGCATAATATGAGTCAATGTCTCAAAGGTAGGTGATGTGTTCAAACAGGTGAAAATAGTGTCTATTGTAATTCTGTACCAACTTGATTGGTCACAATCCATGCTCTTGTAACTCCAGTATATATCTGATGCAGAGTGGTGATGAAGCTTGCAGCAGTGGGTGGATTGCTTCCCAGGTTATATGTTCTTCCTTTGATAATATTTGGTAAATATCTTCACGAAACAGCTCTACTAGTACGCAACTGGGAATAGTAAGTGTGATCATTCTTAGGACTTGGTTCACCTTATGGTATAACATATTACATAGTGCATTATTGAATATGATATAATAATTACTGGCTTTCGTCACGTGTTGGTAGTGTAGGTAGTAGCCATACTAGTGAACTCCCAGAGCCCTCAGCAAGGCGGCACCCTCAGTGAGGTGCAGTGTGTCTTGGCACAGGTGGCCTATGTGATTATACCTGTTATGGATGGGGACCTTGAATTTTTTTTTCTCTTCTCTCCACATAACAACCAACAATACAACCACCTTCAGACAACTTGTATACTTACACATCTTCACCAAGAATACTACCGGGTAATGATTTCTGGTGAACTTGACATTTCTCGCCAAAATTCAGTGCCTGGTGGTATTCTGAACAGATGTACAAGTACTTCTGAGGTTCAAACTACAACTCAAATGGCGGATCCCACAACTCTTCTCCGGGAGTAGGGGCTCTATCAGCCCTGGCTTCCTCCCCCAAATTTTCAGCTCTTTCTTGCTAAAGAAAATCTTCACTTTCAGCTCCAACATCAAGTACCAAATCTTAAAGGTGTTTCTGAAACTTCTCAACATTCTGTTGTGCCTCAGATACCTGATGGGTAAGGTGGCTCTCCTCCTCTCATAGGATGTTACTAGTCTTCCGATGCTTAGGTAGCTTTCCCTCCTCTTCTAACTTCTCTGTCTCCTTTCTCTTTATAGTACATTCTGCTAACTTCTTACTTCTTATGGTAACCAAGTTTGTTGTATGACTGTACTTTCTCTCGGCAGTTTTGTGTTCCTCAGTCGATTAGGACTCAAAAAAGCAGGCAACATCATCTTGATCAATCCAGGCCTTTCCCGAAGTAGGTATTTTTGTTCAGTTTACAACTCATTTACAATGGATATCAGCTAACTGTTGTTTCAGATTGTGAATTTGCCACTCCTTCTCCTCAATCTCAGTAAGTCCCCGATTTGCTATAAGGACTAGGTTACTAACAATCTTCTTCAGTCTCCACTCAAGTTGATCATTTATTGGCAAGGTTGCGAGTGCAATAAGTTCTCGGTTTTTAATTTCAACTCAGTTTTAAGGCACATGCAGGCTATCAATTTCTTGGACTGAGAAGGCACTCAAAGGCTCAGGTGATGGTGGGGTAGGATCAGAGTCTGACTGGTTTAGGCCAATAGACTTGGAGGTTGAGTAGATTGGAGGTAATCTGGAAGGCAAGACTTGAACTTTTGAGAGTATCATATTCCTATTAATAGGAACCAGGCCTGTATTGTAAAATCCACTTTGAATGTTCCTTGGTGTAAAGGATACTCAGCAGGCTACCATGAGAATTTTATAAAAATTCTCTTTTGACACTCCGTATTCATATCTTTCAAAGTAGCATGTTAATTCCTTTTGGTACTAGTATTTATAGGGACTAAAAATACAAACGTCAAATAGCTGTAATCGATGAGTTGTATGCAGAGGTAGACAATAGGAAATGATTTTTTGTAAAATGTAGAAGTCAAGAAACTTCATATTAACATGGCTGCTATAACCATTGAAAAGTAGAAGTCAGTACTCATCTTATGCTTTAAGTGTCTTAACACTGTTTTTCTCAAAGTTCCGTTCCAAATACTGTATTACCATTTTTTCATCGGTCCAGCCATTATGGGATTGTCTGAAAAGAATATCTTCTGGTATACCTCTTACTTTTTTAAACCATTCTGCTACAAATTCTTCTGCTTTGAGTATGATTGTAGGCTTTAGGGTAGTTCCATCTGCGCAAATACCCTCAATAACAGTAACAAATTCACCTGTACCATCTATATTCTTATTAGTATGCCTGTATCTATTTTAATAAATATAATATTATAAAGTAATAAAAACCTACTTTGTACACGATACTTCAATTCTCTATTCTCATGAGGGTTTCTCACAACCTCCAGCACCCTTTCTGACTAACCTAAACCTAATTGAAATCTAACTTCATCACGGTTGTAGGTATTTTGGAGTGTGATTTTATACTCTCGTACAATTGATTCTAACTATATACATTCAATTAACATATATTTAACAAGAAAAACTAGCTAGAAAAAAAATAAACAAAGCAAATAAACAATAAACAAATGATGAATTAAGAATAAATAAATAAATAAATAATAATACTAATAATAATAATAATAATAATAAGAGTGAAATACCTCGTCAAAGAAATGATTCATTAATTGCTGATCATTTCCATAAATATTGCGAATAAAATCCAATTGCTTACTGAAGCAAGACTTTACTTCAGGATGTCTTTTTTTAAAAGCTTCCTCCTATCACTTCCTGAGTGTCTTATGAGGATTTCTCTTTCGTACAATTGAGGTCGAAATTTCATACAATTGCCAAACAGTTGGTAGAAATCCTAAATGGCAGGAGAAATAATACTAGTCTAATACTACTCACTCTTCTTCTAGCAAGAGTTTTTACCTTCTTTGACCTTCCTCCTCACGATTCTTTCTTCCCTTCCAATGATGCATAATAGTACTAGGAGCTGCTCCTACCATCCCAGCTGCAGCAGTAAGACTCAGGGCTGTTCCAAGAGCAGCCATCTCAATGGCCATTTGTTCTCGAACACAGATAGGAATTGTTGAGTCGCTTGATCCCATTATCAGAGTATGTTGTATGAAATCAATTAATAGATTTTCTTGATTCTGCAACTTGGTTTTGAGATGATGTGATGAAATTCACTTTACTAGCTATGTTGACTTCACTAACTATTTTTGAATGCCAAGATGCCAAGGTATGCCGCGCCTCGCTGAGGGTGCCGCCTCGCTGAGGGGTCTGGCGGCTTAGTGGTTGAAGGTAAAACCTAAGGTCTGCGATATGGGGTACTGGAACTCTCCTTGGTCCCAGTTGATGTAATTCAATGGTACAAATCCATAACCCCGGGCTTTGATGATGGATCCCATGTTTAAGCGAGGGGCTATATCAGCCCGAAATGGGGGCCAACCGCCAGGCGTGCCCTGTGCGGGCCCAGGGAGGCTTGGAAGCCTGGGAGATATTTCTCTTTTTGTATTGCGTTTGGAATTAAGGCTTTTTATATTGCCATACCGGAGGTGCATGTATGTTTTTACGCCATAATCAATAAACATATGAATTAAAAAAATTAAAAAATTAAAAAATTAAAAAAAGCTGTCTTGTACCTGTACCGTGACTGCGGCGTGAAAAAGGAAAAAAAGCACAGGGCGCCGATACAAATACCAATACTAGCACAGTATCATCATAGTCGAGTACCAGTGCAGTGCAGCATGCTGCGGTGAGTTATGTGCTACAAGTACACTACGCTGCAGGTACGAACATGGCGCCCGTACGCCCTTGTTTTTTTTTTTTTCTGAAAAACTTTTTTTGTCGTGGGGTTATGTGCGAGTACAGTACAGCATCATACTCGCGTAAGTTGTTTATTGGTTGTGGGGAGAAGGGGAAGGGGGGATTTGTGCTCAATATCATGCATGATACTGTACCCGTACCCGTACAGTACGGTCCGGTATCATACGAGTAACGTGACGTGCTTTACATACATATCGTACAGTACTCGTACATACCCCTTGCACGAGTTGTCATACCCGTACAGTACAATGCAGTACGGTTCGGGCATCGTACCGTGCTATACCGGTACTCGATGGATAGAAAACGGTGTTGTGCAGGTTCCTGTTCGCACTTCTGTGTCTACTGTATGCTGTGCTATTCTGTGTTCATGCCATGTCAGGTACCGTCCGGTAGTGGTACCCTACATATCGATAAAGCGCACATTTCAGACGTACTGGGACAAGTCCTTGTATGTAATTATGCACGCGCGTGTGTGAGGGAGACAGACTAGCGGCCAGTAATTGAAGCACGGTTTGATATCATTTCATTTCCTACGGTATCGTATTACACAACGGGGGATTAAAGAAGGAAGGAAGGAAGGAAAGGGTGTTCAAAGGGCGACAAACAAAAAAATAAAGTGCGTATCATACATACTGCAAGTTGCAAATGCCGGTATCCTCCAGTAACAGCACGGTACCGGTAGTGTACTCTGGGAAGCGATTGAGACGGGCAGACTTATTGTAGTAGTCCGGGGGAAAGAAAAGAAAAGAAACCCGCGCTGGGCTTCGTTTGAGTCTTTTTTCTGCTTCTCTTCTTGGTTGATTACTTTTTCGAATCTAACCTTTACCGTACTTGTATTTTTTTCTCCTGACTTTCTCCCTGAAAAGGTGCCCGAATAAAGTAGGGGAAAAAGAGGGAGGGGAAAAGAGGGAAGAAGGGAAAAAAGTACTGCACCCAATGACATGAAATTTATTCAAGCCTCTTGCTTTGTTTTTTTTTACTACAACTTCTTCTCCTCAAAACTCCCCTCACATTGCTATGCTCTGCTCTGCTAAAATTTGCTTTTCTCCCTCTCTTTCCCTCGCCCAGCCCAATCATTTATTTTGAAGACCTAAAAAAAAAAAGGAAAAGAGTTCTTTCAAAGAACAGGAAAAGGAAGAGAAAAGAAAAAAATTAACACCACAAACTCCCCTTGGAATCGTGTGTGGAACAAAGAAATGCCTTCCAGAAAACTCATTCCCCAGACAGATCCCCAATCTTCTCCAACTTGCCCATCTCCTTCTTCTCGCCCTTCTCCCCAATGACCCTCAGCCTGTCAATTCTAACCTTCTCGGCCTCCTCATTCTCAACATCAACGAAAAATATGTTGAGCGTGCTCACGCTCTGGAACTTGACGTACTTGAGGGGTATGGAAACCGTCCCGGTCTTGGGGTCCCAGTCGGAAGGATCCAGTGTAATTTCCTGCGTAGCTGGGCCCTCGCCGTCCTCAAAGGACAGCGTGTGGGGTGGGTTGACCCAGATTTTGACTGTCTTGGGGCGAGATGGTGTGTCATCGTCCTTATCGTAATCTGGGCTTTCCGGGGCTGGGGCGAGGGATGTCACCTGAAGCGTATGGATCTTGACGGTGGACTGAAAGGGGATGAAGAGCATGAGCTGTTCATCAGTGTCAGACTCGACCCAATCCCTACTCGCCGCTGCTGCCTCGGTACCCGAATCCTTCTCCTTCCCTTTACTGCTAGCGGTGCTCTTGCTGGGCGCTCTCGTGTCAAAAAATATCTTGGCTGCTCCGAATTCGGAGTTTGCGTTGAGAAGATCCAACTGCTTGAGGTCCACCTGGTCTGTAACATCACTGTATGGCTTCGGCAATTCAGCACCAAGCCAGCCCGCATCGCCATCGCTCGATGTGGCGGTGACAGGGGTAGAAGTGGAAGCGGTGGCAGCGGTGGCGGAGGTGGCAGCAGTGGGCCCTGTTTCGGAGGCCGTAAACCCTCCGGCAGCTGAAGAGGATCCAGAATCGACAGCCTGAACCTCGGCCACCAGTTTGGTAAGAGCAGTCCTGAGAATCGTGGGGTTGGCGCCATGGATACGCTCAACCAGAACTTCATTCTTGAACACGAGAAAGGATGGCATCCTGCAGAGTAAAATGAGCTCGTGTTAGCCCCCATAATTTCCATCCCAAAAAAAGTAAGGCCCTCCCCCCCACGCCCGACAATGTTGGGCCTGGGGGGAGAAAAGAAACGAAAATGTGTCGGCCCAAAGAAATAAAAAGAGAGATGTGAGCGATAACGAATACACGGCCCGCACGGCGTGTGCTACCTACACTGTAACGTCAAGGTCCTTGGATATCTGTTGGTTGTCATCGACATCACACTTTGCAAAGGCTATTTTCCCGGGAGACGCAAGCTTCTCGGCTAGCTTCACGAAGATTGGGTTGACGAGTTTGCATGGGGCACACCAGGTCGCATGAACTGTAAGGGAAATCTGCTAGTCAGCGAAATTACTGAAACTCCAAACCGGCAACATGATACCACGCGGGGGGTATGCAGCAGGGATGGAGAGGGATGGGATGGGAGGAAGGAGGGGTTAACGCACAATCGATAATGAGGAGGATGGAGGTCTTCTTGAGCTCTGCCAGCTGCTCTGGAGACGTAATGATGCTGATGCTTTCCATGGGTGAGATGTGTCGTTTGGAGGTGAAACGGCTAACTGAGAGAAGGGGGTGGAACAGACGTCGATGTTGAGAGATGCGAAGGGATGGACGTCGTTGCGGGGCCAATCCAGTGTGGGGTGGGGTGTATGTGTGGGGTATACGCTTCCGGTACTCTACCTTACTAATCCTGTTTTTTTTCTTCTTTCCGTTACCAGATGATTAGTCAGGGTCATGGAATCTCATTAGAGAGGCAAACCATTCACTTTTCACCTCGTGATCCCGTATACTCTAGCCCGCTCCCGACGCAGTTACTCAAGGAAACCACCGTTAACTTTGTCGTTCGTGATTTATTCCATCTGGATACCCTCCTGGTGGACTCGAGCTTCAGTCTCCTACCAGCCAATCTCGAGAGTGTCCGGACACCTTGGACTCCAGAGGGGTAACGATGGAGCCCACGTGTGGGTCCGCATACCACTGATAGTAGGCTAGTAGACATTTGCAATCAGCGCTTGCCTTCTGGCTCCGAGAAGGGGAAGCGCCCAACCGTGTCCCTAGGCACGCCAAACCAATTACCATTATTCGGACACTGACCAACAACCCGGCTGTGAATGATACTCTACTCCGCTCCACAACCGGTGGGACGGGGGAGGGGTGTACCCCTTGAAATCATGCAATGTCACTCGAACATCCAAATCATACTCTCGGGACGGTGAGAAGTGGGAGGAGTCAGACACGCCTTAGAATGGGGGCCGATTGGTTCACGATATGCAGAGGGGTTCCAGGGTATCACTGAGATCAACTATCAGGCGCGGACATACTAGCGCCCAAACCTACCGTATCTCACAAACCAACTGCTGGTCCGCTCGCGCCCTCAACCCTCACATTTTTCCTTCAACACGTGCTCGCATCCTCCCTCCTTCTCCCCCGTCGTTCCGTTTCCGACCGCAGCACGGTAGGGTATTATTATGATACCCTCCCCGAAGATACCGTACGATGTCCCAATCTCATACCATTACCGCGTCGGTCCCGCCCAGATACGTCACTGATTTACATAACCCCGAAGCATTGTCGGACAAATAGCCTTCGCCAAGGGTTGTAAGAGGAAGTACGAGTAGCTGAGATAGATAGCATGGACGACTTATCTCGGTCGAACGCAACGGGAAAGAACCACAAAAAAACAAAAAACAAAAAAAACAGAAAAAAACATCAACCGACCACCTCTTTACTCGAGTACCGTACTGACCGGCATGGGAAGTCCCTACCCCACGGTGAGTTGATTGAAAAAAGCAAAAACAAAACGAAAAGCCATATTATAGAATAAGGGAGTAACTTATCTCCCCATTAGCCAAAAGTCCCACTTTTAGAAACTACCTCCCCTCCCACTGGGTCTTGATTCATTTTTTTTCTTCTTTCCGTGGATCCTTCCGTCGAGGAAGGCTGAGTCGTCGGAATTATCCATCATGGGCCACCACCGTACGGTACTGTGCTACGAGTACTGTAACCACCCCACGTGAAACATTCAAGGGAATGAAGATCTTCGGATGGGATAGGGTGGAAAGGGTGGAAGAGATGGAAAGGGTGGAAAGGAGGGGGAGGAAAGAACAATTTAATCCTAGCGCGGCGTGTTATCCGGGGCGGTTGAGAGCTGGCGTAAGCCCCGGCCGAGACAAATGAGGAGTCCACTAGAATGGGTTCCGGAAAATCTGAAGTTGGTCAAGTGCCGGCCGTGACAACCCCTCGGCGGAGGAAGGAAGGAAGTTAAGTTATGTTAAGTTAGTGATAAGTGCAATCTAATTACCGGTAGTTATGATAGTGCCCCTCCTCCTCCTCGCCAAGAAACAAACAAAAACTGGGAGGGGGTAGTAGGGCGAGGCCCGCGAATTACGGCAAGGGAAAAAAAGTTTCTCCGATCGTCAGCCACCGGCGACCCTCACCTGCCACCCTATCTGGCAATCTCCGAGTTCGTCCTGTAAAAAATTTCGGGCACGTGGTGTCACGCTACCTGAGTGATCCCGTATGACCGTTTCTTGCCTCTTTTTGAGTACAGTACGCTAATATCCCCCCCCCCACCGCTCTTCGTTTCACCATGCTAGTGCATTTTGCAAGAGTTGCGGTTTGATGATGGTGATGATGATGGGTGGATGAACGGTGCTTATTGGTCGTCTTTCGGTCAATGTACTCATGACGACTGGGCTTGGTTGGACTGGTTTACCCTAGATAGGTGATGCGCCATGTTGCTACAGTAACTACTCGAGTACTTGTGTATAGCTAGTAAGTATCGTACCCTGGTGGGTATACCACTAGAGTGGCTGGTGGCGCTTCTAGGTGAATTGACTAAGGTGTGAGTTGTGGGATACGTGCCTTAGTATGGCACACTACGGTACTATGCCGGTAGTCTGGTACGATGCTAGTGGCTAATTGAATAAGCTTTCCCTGTACCGTATCATCATTGGTGAAGCGAGTCATGAGATGAGTGGTGGAGATGGATGGGTTACTGTAGCTTCTGAGGGTTGGTTTTAGTACTAAATTAGTATCGTTATGGGTGTGGTGAACTGCGATATCATACTGATAAGTTCTAGGGTGGTTGCCTGTGATATAACACTGGGGTTACTCGAGTATAGACAATACGGGCTGAGCTAAACATGTGGAAATGTCAAAGCTCCCAACTCTTAATTTGGGGAATCAATCCCCTTGCAAGATTATTGCCTTTAGCCCAATGAGGGCAAATAAGCATGGCCCCGCGAATCCGGCGGTCAGGCCTCTAAAATCTCCGACGGTCAGACCATCCGTCAATGTTCATGCCCGGGTACTCACCATGCGGAAGTTATCGCAAGTCACTGTGATGGACTACGGATTTAGTCGGAAGGCTTTGGTCTCCCTTGTCAGTGGCTGAAGTATGGTACTGGTTTCAAGCTTAGGTAGGTGATAGTTCGTGATGGGCTCCACTGTAGTTATTCACCGCCGGATGCGGATATAGCAGGGGGGGGCATTGGATGCTATTATAATTCGGTCGGATAGAGATAAAAGATTTCCGCGGTAACAGGTGCTTCTAAACGCGTCACCCTTCTTCGGGAAATCGAATAAGCCCGGTTCGTGGACCATCAGGGGTAGGTACGGCACATTGCTACTGTCTACCTTATGTGCTGAACAGCTTATCTCAACAGCTTGATCTGATAGCCCATCTAATTAGAACTCTTCTTCCCTTCGCCCTAATCTCTAAGCCCGCCAATGAGGCCCAGTTAGTAAGACAGTATGAATAAATGGGTGAATGAAGTAGTGAAAAGTTGAAAAAAGAGAGCGAGAGAGGAATCAACAGGTATCTCTGGCGTCATGGAAACCACAGGGAGTGGATTCCGGGTCTCGGGATTGTGAGGGGCTGAGCTTTATTCGGCTCCAAAAGGAGTTAATCGATTCCAACGACCTTGAGGTATCGGGGGGCATATGCTGGTAGTACCTGTACCCCAGGAACAATCACGAGAGTTGCAATTTCAGAAACCAGCAGGTGAGTGTGTTTGAAATTGTAGTCGATCGAATGGCGATGTCAATGATGGCTACGGAGGTTTTACGGAACCGGAGGAGGACAGTGAGGAAAGAGTGAGAGAGTAGAGTTGATCTTATTATCTAAGAGTGGTGTGAGAGAGCAAGGTGAGAAAACAGAGAAAGGGTGAGATGTGAATTGATGGTAGAAGGAGCGGATCGGGCTTCATATGATAAAATTGTTGAGGAAGGAAAGAAGGAAACGAAAGGAAAGAAAGCAAACATAAGGTGCAGACCTGTGTGCTAGGTATCAGGGGCACATAAGTAGTTGCGTATACCTGCGGATGTTCCCAGCTCTTATACGCAATCGTTCTAATATATTCAACAGTGAGAAAAAAAAACTAGAGTGATAAAGTGTGATGATGGTGTGTCCCCCGGGTCAGAAAGACGGTAAACGCAGCCGAAAACTATTGCGGGAAAGTATGGTCTACGGATCGGTCTTTGGGTACGTATTCGGATTTGGGTTAGACCATCTTGTACTGATTAAAGATTAATCCCACGGTGCAACTCGATATAACATGACAGAACGAACAAAGGAGACTTCGACCAGGACCTTTACTGTGGGTTGTTATGCGTCAGAAAGATCGAGTTACTCCTGGAGTCTGAGCATGGGATCTATCGTGAAATACTTTTGTTCTTCCAACGTCTAGGTACATGAATCTAACCTCTATCGGGCCCTGTGTGGTGTTCTATGGTGAGCATCTAAAATAACGGGAAGGGAAGGAAACAGGCGGGCAGAAATTTATGACCGAGAATAAAAGCAAAGGAATAGAAATAAAAATTAAAGCAGTAACGGTGCGGTAACCCAAAAGCAAGCTCCCCGAGAGTTTAACCTATAGTCTAACTTATCCGTCATCATCGTAATAACGTCATCTCGCCCGATGTTCTAATCTATGTAAACCCAAAAGAAAAAAAGGGAAAACAAGGAAAAAAAAAGGAAAAGTCTAAACATCAAGACAGCCTGTTCTGACAGCCTTTCCCAAAATTGCGCAAATCTTTTCATTATCGCCCGCACGGTCGAGAGGTGTGCGGTCGTATTTATCTTTAAGCGTGACGTTAGCGCCTCTCTCCACGAGAAGGTTGATGATGTTGACGTGTTGACCAGCCCAATGAAGCGGGGTCCAGAGGTCATCGTCCTGAGCGTTGATGTCGGCGCCGTTGTCAAGGAGCAGTTCAACCATAGACACCTCCGGCTTCTCACAGGCTATGTGCAAAGGTGCGACACCGTGGTCATCGCCGAGTCCAATGTCGGCAGCTTTATCGATGAGGAATTTGACCATCCACTCGTCTTCAGCCGAGACCGCGAAACTGAGAGCAGTTCGGCCGTTTGAATTCACAGCGTTGATGTCCGCACCGTGAGAAAGGAGGAGGCGAGCGATATCATGCCCTTGGTTCTCCGCGGCGATGTGTAGAGGTAAGGTGTCGTCTCCATACTTGGCTTCGATATTGGGGTTTGCCTTGTTACGGAGGAGGAGCTCAACCATTTCTACATTGCCAATGGCGACAGCGCAATGGAGAGCAGTTTCCCCGTCACTGTTTCGGGAAGAGATATTGATGCCACGGTCCATCAATATCTGGGCTATCGGGAGTTGACCCTTTTGGGCTGCGACGTGTAGTCCGGTCCCTCCAAAGGAATCCGTGATTTCCATGCTGAGGCCGTTATCAAGAAGGAATTCGACAATCTCAAGTTTGCTACCCTTAATGGCGTCCCTGAGAAGACTCTCGTCACAAATCGTGGGAGCGAAGGTGATATCCGCACCCTTAGACACCAAGAATTTCGTCATGGCCACATTTCCGGTCCACGCTGCCCAGTTGATTGCGCGGAACTCTCCGGTGCCGTTACTACCGAGGACAAGGTCGGCCCCTTTCTCAACAACAAAATCCACCATATCTTTCAAGCACTTTTTCTCTTCATCACCAGTCTTTTCGCCATCCAAATCACCATTCTTGTATCCAGCCAACTCGATAGTAGCCCCTTTCTCAAGAATGTTCTGCACCATATCCGCGTCTCCGTTCGCCGCAGCGTAGTATAGAGCCGTAGTAGCATACTCGGGGGCTGCTGCGAGCTTGCAGAGGAGCGGAGACAAGGCAAAGGCGAGGCGAGTGTTCGTCTTGAGAAAAGAGCTGAGGTCGCGAGCATCCTGTAGGTTCTCCGCTACAAGGAGCAATAGCTCATCAGGGAAGTTAAGCAAAGCCATTTGTATGTGGTTGCGTTAATCCCTGGCACTGAAACTGTCCGTCGGACCTGCAAGAAAGCTTGGGGTTAGGCAAGGGAGATACACTAGAGAACTAGAGAAGGGAATGCACGTACCGGCTTGGATTTGGATGGCGAACTCGACTGGCTGAGAGAAAAGGGTCTTTGATTGTCTGTTGACCAGAGGTTCCATAGAGATGAAGGTTGCGCGTTTGGTACTAATGAGCGAGCCTTTTCTAGGGGCACGCAGGGAATTTTTCAAGGAGGTAAGGCTCTTGTTCGTCGCTTGGAGATTTGTCGCTGGAAGGCAGATGTAGGGCGGCAAGGAGGAAAAGGACAGTTAGGCAAAGTTATGGAGAAGAAAAAAAAAAAGGAAAGGGACTAGTGCGGCTGGAAGGTTTCCAGAATTGGAACAAAGCCTTCTTGCTGACTCCATGGCACGCCCTATCACTCGCCAGAAAAATTCCATCCTCCAGATCCAGATCACAGGTCCGAGATTCCGAAGCCTGCATATTGTGTAACGTTTCCGTGATCTTTAATGCGTTGTTCCCGGCTTCAGAGACCCATTTCTGGCTATTTCACGGTAATCCATGTCGGGGGAGGGAAGATTTGCTTTACCTTCTCAAAGATCCAGGTGAGAAGAACTTTTGCGATTCGCTGGGGGGTATCTTGGTCGGGATCCCTCCATATGTAAAAGGTTGGCTACCCAACGATAACGGTAAGGTTAATGGTATTCCAGCGGTTGTTGGCATTCTACCCCTGGCTTTTCGCGGCGGGTGGGATTTAACGATACCCTATCCTTTCCTGACTAACAGGTGGGAGGCTTTTTTTTTTTGACGTGGTTGCTGAGGTAAGCCGACTTTACTGGCATCATACGGTATTATCATACCGGTATTGTACCGTATGTAACTTTAACCACACGGCGTACAGTACACCGAGGAGGAGCTTTTCGGCCCAGGCTCCCCAGCGGATAAATTACATGTATAGAAGCCTGGGAAGCCCTGTATTTCTACTTCTTTATCCAGTGGCGACAATTATTTCACTGCAGTATCGGTAAATTAGTATTATGATACGAGTACGAGGAGCACGGTAGCAAGGTACCGGTAAGGAAGGCGCTAACTCATTCGCAATTTTTGTTTATCTGGCCTTTTTACCGCCGAGGATCGCAGCCCTTGTGTTTCCACAGACTTGTAATTCCGCATTGTGCGACGCGGGTCGAGAACGGGCTGAGATGAGATCTGGCACAAAAGCAAAAAAAAAAAAGGCCTGATATCGGGTTTCCTTTGTGAATGCCATCGGTGGGGGATTTGCTGCATTGTTGTGATAGCGTTTTGTCCCCGGTAGAACCTTAAAAGTCACTTCCAGGGAGGGAGGGGATAAATGGTGCCTTTAGGATAATCAGATACTGATATCGTACGGTACAAGTCTGGCCTACGGAAAGGAAAAAAGTATATAATAATAGTAGTCCGAGTCGTTCTATATACGGGGCGCTACTTGGAGGTAAATCGGAAACAAAGTTGGGCGCTATTTCGGTTCCCGGTTGGTCAGTAGGTAGGGTATACGGGACGCTATGATAGAAGGGGATTTCCCGCACCGGACTTGCGGGACGGTCCGAATTTCTCGGGGCTAGCCGCACGATAGGTACTAAATTGCCGTAGCATCTGTAATGGCCTTAGCTCCTGGATGACCTGTCGTGATTACGGGAGCTCTGTATGTCTGTGAACTAATGGTGTTTTTAGGTGTGCCATAGCCACTTGTACTGTCCACACTAATTTATTGTTTCCATTCACTGGGCTCGGGGAGAGTTATGTATTGTGCTCTCCAGCGATAAATTTTCCTTGGAGATGGCTGGGGGGAACTTGATAGCGCTCTGTAACACCCGTTGCTCCGGAGTGGCTTGTTTTCCGATTCCGATTGTATGGTAACGCTAGACTCCAGTAGTTCTGGACCTCAACATCCTTCGCCGGATGCCTACAGACAATTGAAAAAGAAAAAGAAAAAAAGAAGAAAGAAAGAAAACGTAGTGAGTAGGTTATATGTCCCATGTGATTTCCGGCACTATTTTTCCCGCCTGGACAATTTCCTTTCTTCCCCTCCCCCCTCTTTTATATTCCGGAGGTGTTAGCCCAGTGGGACGCCTGAGGCTAACGACGGGCCAAAGGTGTACCATTGGGCTGCAAGAAACAAAGCTTATTTGTGGAGTTTCCGCATCACAATGTCGAGAATTGGTGGCCCGGTCTGTTGGTCGGCGAGACTCAACAGTACCGGTATCATACGATGGGCCTGATAACACGAATTGGGAGAAGTGGAGGCCAAGAACGGTAGCCTAGCATGAGAAGTGAGGTGGATTCTGATTTCCGGGAAGCGAATGCCAATATCAGTTGCCTGACCATTTTCACGGTTCGCCCGGTGTTGTCTCGTTTTAGATGGGTCCTGGGTGAGGCCTGGAGGATGTTTGGTCTCAATAGACCCGGATGTTATGGATCGGTTTTTCCCTGGCGGGTGGGATGTCCTTGTTGGCAGTGGCAAGGAACTAGTGCTTCCTCTTGCTGAGAAACAGTGAGGAGATGGTTAGCCGCGATCAGAGGACATTTCAGATAATAGAGGGGATGGGAATTCCTGGTTAATTCATTTTAGTTGTGTGAGGTTAGCTGGCAGTTTTCAGGTTCCACGGGCACTTGTGAGGGGGTGACCGACAAATGGTTCGCAGTCTGAATCATGAATAGTAGTAGCCTCGCCAGCTTACTGTCAATCCGGCTTCTCACCAGCGAAGATAGAGTATTCTCTCTCCCCCATTGATGAAATTAGCGTGGGGCATAGGCACTGGTACTCGGGTATGGACGTGGGTGACCGGACAGCTAGAGATTAGAGGTGTCAAAGCTTCTTGCTTGTTTGAGCAATTCTCATGCCAGACTCATTCTTTTATTTCCTATGAGGGCAAGGGCGGTCAGGCCTCTGAAATCCCTGGCTGTCCGGTCACCCACGTCCATACCCGAGTACTAGGAAACAGCTGAAGGAAACACCCTTACACCCCCATTTCTAGCCGTGGCTGTGGGTGCATTCATCGTCCCCGGGAGGATTGTGCAAAATACGTGCATGGATCTTGCCAAATAATTGGGTTTGAACACCCCATACGAGTAGATACTAGTAGGAGGTAGTGCCCCCAGAGTGCTGGCACAACTTGAAATACAGTGTATCACGCAGGAACCATGAGCATGGGAATTCCGAAACATGGCATCGGGAATCCCACCGGGATAGATCCTAGTGCCCTTGCGTAGCGAGTCAGGGGAGTCCCTTGGGAAGGCACTGGAGGAGAATTGGGATTTAGTGCTCGGGTAAATAAGGATTAGAAAGGTTATTGCTTTTAGATACTCCAAAAGAGCTTCCCAGAGGTTACTCCAAGCCTATGAGGATATCATACCTTACATCAAACCGCCATACATACCTGATAGGGCTCTACACGGTGCCCACAGCTTAGCTCCTTGCTCGTAGTATGATATCATACACCACAACTCCCGGAAATGGATCCCCCTCAATACGCCCACCACC